GTGCCTCTGAATTGTTGTTGTGCCTGCCCAAAGTTGATCAATGGCCGTTTGTCAATTCGAATCACACGGAGATTACTTGATCGGTCGATTCGACGAGCGTATTGTACGTCTGGGACATGTGGTCTGTGTTTTGCACACTCGCGACTTAATAGTTCTGAGACTCTACATGAGTTCCAGGAATGAATACTAAACGACCGAATGAAAGCCGGTTGGAATAAATCCATAGTGAAATATCTGCCTTTGGCGTGCAAGTCACGTGCGAATATTTAATGAGTCAAATATCTCACATGACTCATCCATCACTACATTTGGAAAATAGTTGGACGTCCAGTTTTACTAATTCGGTCATACTCTAGTGAGAGCTCAGTGCTGCTATAGGGACTAACGTTCGCACATCTCACAACCACGGGAACCTTAAGTATAATTCAGTCCTAATCAAGATATATATTTGATTAGTGAGTTGTAATCAATGAATGAGTACGAAGTGTATGGTCTACTTTCAGGCTGGACCTACCGGACGTTTCAAGTGAATAAAAAACTACGTCAACCTATGAGTCGAGTTCAACTTTCGAGAATCCTAATCCCATCCTATTCAGAATACCTAGCTCAGTGGTAGTGTTGCCTCATTTCGCGCATACTCAGTTCATAAGGTAACCATGAGTTCATTCAAACGGCACCCTAAGATAGCCAAATAACTGAGGAGGCATTCGTATGCAAGCAATTTCAACTCAGACAGTGGGGCACCCGAATGTCCTTGTGAACTGATAAAAACAAAAGGATTATAGAAGAAAAAGACAACCTCCACTCAAACACTCGGCGGTTACTAACAGTTGAGCAAAAGTTTACCGTTGTTTTGACATCTGTAAGGGTGACAGTCACTCCGAAATTCACATGTGGGTTCGAAGTACATAGACCTCATCGGAGATCTGTGCATAACCTGGATGAGTGGTATAAAAACCTCATCATTTGTCGACTGGCAAACATTCACCATGTATGGCAATATGTATCTAATGATATAATGATCAGTTCATTACATCTTAGTTCACATGATTTAAAGCGGTGTCTAACACGAGTCTATTTTTTTAAGCTGACCTACTGACTAGCAACAACCATTGGAAAAGACAGTCGATTCATTGAAAGTAGGTTGAGGATGATTAGTTTGGAGGGGATCCAATTTGCGCCCAGTTACCCACTGTCTTTGGTCCGAGTCTAGCCGAAGTCCAGATTTTTCGTAGTTGGGTCTGCTCAACAATTATCAGCCCTGCCACACTACGTATCATTAATATATAGATGATTAGTTGATACGGTAACTGTAGCACACCACGATTAACTAACTGATCGGTAGTTTAATCGAACAGTGTAAACGACTGAAGTTTACGAGGTACGAAATAACACTGCATTTTGTGAGTAACTTTCGATTTTCGACGTCAAGTTAAGAGTAAAAGTCAGAAAGTTTGGCCACACGATGCGGGCTTTGTAGCACTCTGCTAAAAGCGTCACTTACGCGTGAATATTACCCACAGAATAACCAAGTGTAATGTGCAACGGTCAGTGTAATGTGCAACGGTCAGTGCAATGTGCAACAGTCGAAAACTCAAGTGGTGTCAATCAGACGACAGCGAACTGTATTACACAAGTAGGCGGGCAACAAAATTGACAGATAAAACTGTGTACAAAAACGTTAGTAGAGAGTCAGAAACAGTTGCTTTTGATGCCTTATCTCAAGGTTATTTAAATCCACGTGTGAAAGAATTTTCAACCATTGAATAAACCGGTGTTTCTTGATGACAAATGTGTGATCTACATCTTGGACATCCGTTTGAATAAAACAGTCTATTAGTCGAACATTCGTACGAAATAAACAAACTTGATGATAAGTCTGTTCGTAATTGCTCATCGTTCATTGCATTACAAAGATATCCTGGGCATTCCTGTTAAGAGTGATAGATCAACTAATTCTAGTACATGCTCCTAATTTTGCCGTGTGTTGATACGTCCCATCTCTTATGTCTGTTTCTGTTCCACGTTTAAACGGAATCCCCAACGCAGTGATACATAAACAATTAAATATATACGTGAAATCATAGGTGTCCCCTAAATCGGTGAACAAGATGACTGGGCTTGTGATTAACAATGAGGTAAGTCAGATCCAGGTTGTAGGGTGCTGTTTGTAATCTAATTCATTTTCAATAGACATTTTTCAAAGGGAACACCATTTACACTTAGTTACAGATTTTGTAATTATATCAGCAGTTCGGATCGTTCACTTTAAAAATAACGAACTAGGCATGAGTTTCACACTTGACGGAGTTCAATAGTAGTGTCATCGCAGTGCTAATCGGGATTTGAACTATGACCGTCTTGTTTGCAGTACGATCACCATTATACATATATGTTTCCATTTTAGGCAAAAGATTTTCCATTACATGCTAAAGTGATTCACTTTGGTGCATTAGAATTTCCAAGTCAGAATCTTCGACGTGACGGCAAGAACGCGATCGGTCCAACCAACCGGAAGGGACAACCAATCTTAATTAGAGCACTTCAGACTGGCTACTTTGATAGTGGAAGTGGTACAGGTTATTCGAAGGATGTCAACGGCTTTGCACAATGTGAACGGGGTTAGCGGTCAAAGTGGAGCACAGATCATCTGACCCTGTTCCTACTGATTCATCAAACTGCGAACCGTATTGGTTCCTTTGACACGTATGGGGTTGCGACTAAATATAACCATTGGGCTTTAGTGACCGCAATGTTTCGGTTCCTTCCTTCAAGTTGATGTTAACTCTATTTGAGCTATATATCTGTTTCAGAGGAACAATCTCTGCTACAGTATGTAATGATTTTACTTCTCTGTTCAATGGTTACACGTTTTTTCATAGCCACGCAAAATGACTTGCCTGACCTGGTCAATCAGTCCATTATGTTGTCATTAACACATAAAAGCACAATATTCCATTTCGCTACTCGAGGGAACTAATATAAAACTCTGTAACTGTTACTTACATTTCCAAATCATAGATCACTCCAAGATCGCGGATCTCCGTTTATTGTTATCTCGTGGTGCACCTGCAGTTGCCTCTTAACTCTTGCCTTCACCATGCTCCAGATATTCTCAGTTGGATTCAACGTTGGTGAATAGGGTGCCAATCGTAAGAGTTGTCCTCCATTACATAACTCCTCAGTAAACACACTTTCCAAATCAGTATGACACGGTGCGTTATCGCATATCAGCACAATGTCTGGCATGTGTGTACTGGCTTTCATCTGATCAAACAGGGTTCGCACCCAGCCCTTGCATTTGCTGCCGTTGTATGCACACGCCTCGTTGTATAGCATACTATTGAGCTTGATACCATAGCTCTAAGCAAATGAACATTACGGCCTCGGCTATTTGTTACAGAGACACATGTTCTCGTTCCTGTTAATGAACATCCCATTGACCTTATACAGAACAAATTGAAGTTTGTCTCATCTATCCAGCAAACAGTCTTTGAATTTGCATAATACTCCATCAGTCGATACGCAGACAGTCACCATAACTCCACATTCTCATTTGAGTTCATACCAACGGGTACTTAGCACGGTTTCCTTACAGTTATGTACCGGCCATCCAAGTATCGACTAATCGTTGTGGTCGATAACTCGTTCTCAAACTCGATCTTAACACGCAATCTCAAAACTTGCAGTGTAACGGTTGAGTCTACTGAAATCCACTCCAAAAAGACATCGATCTCTGATTCTATCAGAATCTCGCTTCTATGTCCTTCGCGAGGTTGAGCTTCATAACTGATGCAATCCACATGAATCCACTTGTAAGCGGCATTACACTTGACTGTATTCGAATGGGTAAACGTGCGCTAGTCCTCGCCCCTGTCGAATGCTTCGATTATACGTCAGAGTGTGTTCGGCACTGATACGAGTGTACTTGCGTCCACCAGCCATGTATGCAAGAGAACTAATAAAAATGTTCGCACAAACTGGTCCACTCTCACACTACAGCTCGAATTCTACCACGACCTTAAACCTCACTCCGATTGGACGTGAGATCCACAGACACGCATAACCACTCGCAACCGCATACCTGTCAGAGGAACCAATACGGTCCGCAGTTTGATGAATCAGTAGGAACAGGGTCAGATGATCTGTGCTCCACTTTGACCGCTAACCCCGTTCGCATTGAGCAAAGCCGTTGACATCCTTCGAAAAACCTGTACCACTTCCTCTATCAAAGTAGTCAATGCGAAGTGCCTTAATTAATATTGGTTGTCCCTTCCGGTTAGTTGGACCAATCGCGTTCTTGCCGTCACGTCGAAGATTCTGACTTGGACATTCTAATGCACCAAAGTGAATCACTTTAGAATGTAATGGAAAATCTTGTACTCAATAAATGTAAAATAACAATCATTATTCAGTTGCGAAGGGATTAACGAAAGTAGAATTGCGATAGTCGAAGTGGTGAATAAAATTGATTGTCTCGTTTAAAAATGGTATGTTGAATTACGGTGAGTTTTCAGGTGACCATCTGTAGGAATGATTGTTGACCTTTGAAAGGCTAACTCACAGTGTTTCACAACAGATCAAAAAAAAACTGTGAAATGGGTGAGAGAAAGTAGTTCCGGTACTAGACATTTTCGTTTATCATATCCATATTTTTACCTGAAGCCCTAAAACCTTTACATAAATTATTCTTTGAAAGGTCCAACTTGTTGAGACTGAAAACGGTGATCTCCTGCGGGTTATTGAACAACGATCATTTGAACTTTTGGAAAAAGATCAGTGAAAAACCTTTTTTATATCAATTTTCAAAGGATTTTCTGTCAGGTTTCTAAAAATGATCAAATGTTCAAGAAAGATGGTTATTTCTCTGTTAGATTTTAGTGCTTAAAGTGTGCGGACAGTACGTGTGTACAAAACCAAAACCGACAACAATTCACAGTTTACCAATAAGTGGTTCGGCAGGTTTATGATTTTAGATGATGCCCATTTGTGAAAAGACAGGGCTTCGGCCGGATTCGAACTAGCGACAGAAACGCTATGCCTCAACGTGGCTCTACCAGCTGAGTTTCGAAGCCACGCCAGGAGGTCGGAATTGAGTTTAATTTAAAATTCACATCTTCACATTTTTCTTAAGAGTAAGCAATGGTAACTTTGCTCCAACTTGAGCATCTGACACTGTGGATACAATGACATTCATAATGGATTGCATATGTAGTAACGTTTGGAACCAATTGTGTTTTTATGTACCAAGGAACTGTAATTAACATGAAAACAACTTTATTGTAATTTGCTTGTGACCTTTTCAAGAAGTTCATTTTACTCTTGTTCTAAATGGAGTAAGCGGATTCTTAGAAAGTCAGCAATCTCATTTAGAGGCAGCTAATTTCAAACTGACAACAATATTATGTTTGGATTATGAACTTGAAACAAGTGGTTTCTGTAATTTATTCGGTTGATCTACATTCTTCCCATCCCGCGTCTATGTCCGAAATTATACATTCAAAAATAACTGACCTAAACGTTCAGAATGACCATTTGTGAACGAATCTTAACTGCGTGATGCATAACTTCAGCTAATACGGGTTTTTACATGTTAATATGACTCCTGCATTCGCATTTTAACTACACTAATTCGATAATCCCATTTCGGTATTTAACATCTGCAGAAGACTTGAAGCGATTTGTCATCTTACCGGTCCTGTTGAAATGGTCGACAGTGGGTGCATAACCAAAGTGTAAGATGTTGAACGATAACTATCTCTTATTACCTGTGATCCGGAAAACACATATTGCGTAAAACTGGGAAAGAGATTGGGCCGCATTGAGAACAGTGATTTCGAGGAATGTTAATACCATCTGATGGGCATTTCATGTTTGACAGTTGCATACAAAACTAGTTTCATGAATACTTTTTTCATTCGTGCGTCCCGAGTAAACAAATTACTGTAGCTGTCTTGTCGGAGGTTTAAATTTTATGCTTTCCCACTCAGTATAGGTTTATTTCAGTAGTTCTATTTTGTCGCGTTTGCCCCAGATTCCTTTCAGTCAGGATAATAGAAGTAGGAACGTGATGACAAAGATTTTGTCGTGGGTCAAACCAATCGCTTCTCACCGTAGAAGTTATTTCACATAAAAGGGGGAACAACCCGAACTGATTCGAGTAATGGGATCGATATATTAGTCCAGAACGGCATACGGACAGCGGGATGACACGTATACAACCATGTTGTATGAACGGTACATTCTATCATTAGAGAAATGAAGCTGTTGCAATTTCCAACCGTTGAGAAAAGACGGAAATGCCAAAATGG